TTGGGGAGCTTTTACGCAGAAGCCTAGAGAGGCAAAGTATTTTTAAGGTCTCTTGTGGGCCCTCACCTTCTGCACTCAGAGTGCCAGAATGGGGAACAGACCTGACCCTATCACTGGAGATTTTAAAGAGGTGATTAGACGAATACCCATCAGGCATGGTCTAGATGGTGCTTAGTCCAGTCATGAATGCAGGGAACTGAACTCAATGGTCCAGTTCCCTTCAAGTTCTATGATTCTATGGCTACATGCAGGTCAGAGCAAGGGCCATTTATTAAATAGCAATTAAGGAAAGGGAAAATGAGAAAGGTTAAAAGAAAACACACAGTCATGCTGTGTGGCTTGAGGACATCACACACACCTATCTGATATACCTATGGGAAGTTCAGAGACTGCCCCAAGCTTCCTTTCCAGTGCTCAGCTCTGCTGTGTGTCAGACAATTGCTCTGGTGGTGGCCATAGGCCTTCAGGTGCTAGGTGGCAGAACCCTCCTCATCAGTGTCAACCCTTCCCCTCTCAGCATCAGGGTAATGATTCCCTCCAAGAATGGCTCCGATCTCCTAGTGCCAGGCCCTCAACCCAGGATTCCCGCTCGCTCTGCCTAGCTGCTCCCAGCTCTGAATTGCTCCAACAATAGCCCCATTCTGCTGCCAAACTGATGCTGGTCTGCCTCCCAGCCTCTGGGCTGCTTCTTTCCCCACTCTGGTGTCTGCAGCCTGCTCTGTGCACAGGAGAGCTGTCTGGGCTGCTTCTGCACCCAGCACTGTCATGCTGCCTGGCTGCTTTCTGTCTCTCTCTGGCTCACCCAACCCTGCTCCCTAGCTCAGCTTGGGCTCTGCTCTCTCTCTAGCTCAGCCCCACTTTGTCTGAACCCGATCTGAGCAATTGCAGCTCATATAGAGGATATGACCCTACTCCAGCATCTTGGCTCCCTTATTAGCTGTCCCCCTTATCCATCATGCTGCCCTGTAGCCTTGGCCTTCCCTCATTGGCCCCCAGGAACTGTCAGCTGTTTAAAGGCCCTGATTCCCATCAACCCTTCCTCTACCTGTTGGTGCTGGGGGATATTTAACCCACCCTGTCCTGATCAGTTGTAGTGAGGTGCCAGCAGTCCCCTGACACACAATACAATAGCAATACCATTGGCGGTAGCAGCTGTTACAGGGTAGAGCCCCATGAGCCATATTGAATTAGGATGAGCCCAGATCAGATCATCAAATATCCAGATAATCAGATTGGGATGTTGCAGAACCATCTAGTGGTCACAAGAAGACTTGCCTGCTTCTGGCCCTGTGTGCACTGGTCTGAACAATGGAAGGGGGCATCAACAGTTCCCACAAATTGTCCCAGACTTCACCCATATGAGACGGAAAATGTCTATGGCATTAGGCACCTACACGTGGTTCTCTCTGACCGGTCCTACTCCGGACTGTGTTTGTGTTTGCAAGAGCCCCTAGGGGTTCAGCGTAAATTGACCCCCAGGTCGGGGAAGGGGGCTTGGGCCCTTCCTCTCTCCTAGCCCCGGCCCCTAAGGCAGGGACTCTTGTCCCTACTCGGTGGAGGGGGCTGTAGCCCCTAAACCCTCCACTCACGGGTTCCACGGCCTGCCCTGGGCCACTTCTTCCCCAACTCCTATGGCTCCCAGTGCAGAGCCAGACTTACCGTCCCTCTCCTCCTGGGGTGTGTGTTGCCTCGCTCCGGCTCACCACCCCCTTCATCGGGGCTCCTTGCCCCTTTTAAACTGCCTGCCTCGGCATCTATTGCCGGCCCCGCCCCCGCGCTCCCCATCCCGCCCCTCCGGGGCTCACATGTGATGTCACCGGCGGCATCATCCGGTCGCGCCGTGTTTGCCCAGCGGTTTGTGATTGCGGCACCACCAGCTGCTTCTGGCCGTGCAGATGCCCCTCCTGATCTCCAGCCCACAGTCCAGGGCCACCTCTAGTGCGGGGCAGCGCACTACCCCAGTATCTGTACTGACTCCAGGTGATAGCGCACCTCCTATTATTCACTGCTGATAGTAACTCTCTTACGTCTCCTTACAGCTCCCCAGCTGCCCCTGCCATGGGGCAGGCAGGAGAATCATTACATCCAACTGACAGAGGGAGGCACGAAGGCTGAGAAAGGCAAAGGGCCTTGTCTGACATCACACAGCCAGTCTGGAACAACACTAGGAATAGGACCCAGAAGCCCTAATTTTGCAACTCACCATCAATCTGGAGTTTCGCACCCTGACTGATCAGAATAGAGTGCCCTCCGATGAGCTACAGACCCACAGCCCTGCTTAGGGATTGCTCAGCCAGTAGTTTAGAAGAACAACAGGAGTCAGCAGTTCCAAAGGGGTGTACAAAGATTTAACCTGCCTCTCTGGGGCCATGGACTCTCCAGGGAGAGTGGGAGGGGCTCTTTCCGCCACACACCCTGTAGGCCACGTGGGTGAATGCAAACCTTTTCATGGACTACCAGTTGCTAATGGACACTCATGGTTAATTATATAATTACACTTTCATTATTTTGCTAGTACTGCAGCTGGGGAGATCAGTTTAATTTACATTATAAAACAGATTAAGCATTTTGAGTTTCTCATGTTACTTAGTAAAACTTCATTTCAAATAAGAAGAACATTACAACTAACATAAAAAGCTTCAATGTTTTCTTTAAGGCAAGAGTGAAGAACCAATTTTGAGTTGGGGATCACTGACCCACAGAAAAATCAGTTGGTGACCACACAAGTGAGAAGCCAAAAAACTCCTCCACCCCCCCCCAAAAACTCACTGATGTGGCCCAACTGAGGCACCTCACTCCTCTGCTGCCCCAGCCTCATAGGGTGAGGAGAAAGGAAGGGGGACTGAGGTTCAGGGCTTACCATAGACCAGATTTACTTTTCTGGGGTTCTGGAGTTAGTGGATTTTACAAACACCATTAGGCTCTGGGATAGGTACAAAAATGAGGGATACTGTGTGAGGCAAGACTGATAGCAAACAGAATAGGGATGGGGTGCAAGAGCTGGGAGAGAGCTGGAGTGCAGAAGCAGGCTGCGTGTAGAGTGTCTGGCCAGATGGAGGAAGCAGGAACAAGGGAAAGTGCAGCGTGTGGCCAAGTAGAGGGTGCAAGAACAAGGGAGGGTGTCAGAGCAAGCTGGGGGTGCTGGGTGTTGGGGGGAGGGAATTGAAGGGAATGGAATGGGGGTTCTGAGAATGAAGGGGAACATTACCTGACTTGTGCTCCCTTACAGAAACATCTGAAGCAATGCTGTCCCATCTGCTGCAGAGGACACCACAGGCTGGAGACAACACTGCCACAGCCATGCAGCTGTGGGTCAGCCCTGGAGACCAGAGGCATAGCTGTTGCAGCCACATGGCCTGGGGCCAGAGGGGCTCTTGCCACAGCCATGCAGCCCAGAGCCACTTCAGAGGCACCCTGCCATGGCCACATGGCTCTGGTGACACAGATACCATTGCTGTGGCCATGAGTCAGCCTTAGAAGGCAGAGCTGCTGGGGTAGCAGTGCCCTCAGGCTCTGGGGCTGGCTCTAGATCATGCAGTGAAGCCTCAGCCCCATTGCTGCCTCCTCTCCAGTGTCTGCATGACAGGAAGGGGAATGGGGCTGAGCTCATTCCCTAGCAGCACGTGCCCATTAGCAGACAGAATCAAAACTTTAAGTGGGCTCGATTCTGCCCATTGAGAGGCTTTTGCCCACCTCTAATATAGAGTTTCTCCCCTATGTGGGTTTTCCTATGTGCCACAAGGCTTGAACTCACACTGAAGTATTCCCCTGCAGTCAGAGCAGCTGACAGGTTTCTCTCCTGTGTGGGTTCTCCTATGCCTAACAAGGTGTCACCTCCGAGTGAAGCTTTTCCCATAGTCAGAGCAGCTGAAGGGTTTCTCCCCTGTGTGGATTCTCTTAAGTCTAACAAACTGACCTGTTACTGAAGCATTTCCCACAGTCGGAGCAACTGAAGGGTTTCTCCCTGTGTGGCTTCTCCTATCTCTAACAAACTGTGACCTGTTTCTGAAGCATTTCCCACAGTCAGAGCAGCTGAAGCAGCTCTCTGGTGTGGGTTCTCCTATGTGCAACAAGGGTTAAACTCAACCTGAAGCTTTTCCCGCACTCAGAGCAGCTGAAGGGTTTCTCTCCTGTGTGGATTTTTCCATGCAAGAAAAGGTGTGACTTCTGACTGAAGCTTTTCCCACAGGCAGAGCAGCTGAAGGATTTCCCTCCTGTGTGGATTTTTCTATGGATGACAAGGTGTGACTTCCGACTGAAGCTTTTCCCACAGGCAGAGCAGCTGAAGGGTTTCTCTCCTGTGTGGGTTCTCCTATGCCTAACAAGGTTTGACCTCTGACTGAAGCTTTTCCCACAGTCAGAGCAGCTGAAGCAGCTCTCTGGTGTGGGTTCTCCTATGTGCAACAAGGGTTAAACTCAACCTGAAGCTTTTCCCGCACTCAGAGCAGCTGAAGGGTTTCTCTCCTGTGTGGGTTCTCCTATGCCTAACAAGGTTTGACCTCTGACTGAAGCTTTTCCCACAGTCAGAGCAGCTGAAGCAGCTCTCTGGTGTGGGTTCTCCTATGTGCAACAAGGGTTAAACTCAACCTGAAGCTTTTCCCGCACTCAGAGCAGCTGAAGGGTTTCTCTCCTGTGTGGGTTCTCCTATGCCTAACAAGGTTTGACCTCTGACTGAAGCTTTTCCCACAGTCAGAGCAGCTGAAGCAGCTCTCTGGTGTGGGTTCTCCTATGTGCAACAAGGGTTAAACTCAACCTGAAGCTTTTCCCGCACTCAGAGCAGCTGAAGGGTTTCTCTCCTGTGTGGGTTCTCCTATGCCTAACAAGGTGTCACCTCCGAGTGAAGCTTTTCCCATAGTCAGAGCAGCTGAAGGGTTTCTCCCCTGTGTGGATTCTCTTAAGTCTAACAAACTGACCTGTTACTGAAGCATTTCCCACAGTCGGAGCAACTGAAGGGTTTCTCCCTGTGTGGCTTCTCCTATCTCTAACAAATGGTGACCTGTTACTGAAGCATTTCCCACAGTCAGAGCAGCTGAAGCAGCTCTCTGGTGTGGGTTCTCCTATGTGCAACAAGGGTTAAACTCAACCTGAAGCTTTTCCCGCACTCAGAGCAGCTGAAGGGTTTCTCTCCTGTGTGGATTTTTCCATGCAAGAAAAGGTGTGACTTCTGACTGAAGCTTTTCCCACAGGCAGAGCAGCTGAAGGATTTCCCTCCTGTGTGGATTTTTCTATGGATGACAAGGTGTGACTTCCGACTGAAGCTTTTCCCACAAACAAGTTGTGACTTCCGACTGAAGCTTTTCCCACAGGCAGAGCAGCTGAAGGGTTTCTCTCCTGTGTGGATTTTTTTATGGATGACAAGGTATGAGCTCTGACTGAAGCTTTTCCCACAGGCAGAGCAGCTGAAGCTCCTATGGGTAACAAGGTTTGAACTCGTACTGAAGCTTTTCCCACAGTCAGAGCAATTGAAAGGTTTCTCTCCTGTGTGTCTTCTCCTATGGATAACAAGGTATGAACTTGCACTGAAGATTTTCCCACAGTCAGAGCAATTGAAAGGTTTCTCTCCTGTGTGTGAAGCATTTCCCACAGTCAGAGCAGCTGAAGGGTTTCTCCTGCGTGTGGCTTCTCCTATGTCTAACAAACTGTGACCTCTTACTGAAGCATTTCCCACAGTCAGAGCAGCTGAAGGGTTTCTCTTCAGTGTGGATTTTTTTATGTCTAGTAAGGTGTGACCTCCAGATGAAGCTTTTCCCACAGGCAGAGCAGATGAAGGGTTTCTCTCCTGTGTGGGCTCTTCCATGTTTTATAAGAGTTGCACAGGGTGACTCTTGATGGGGGATTTTCTCTTGAACAATTTCTGTGTTTGTTTTTAACCTCCTGCTTCTGAGACTGTATTTACCTTGTCCCACTCCTGGATGGTTTCCCTGATGCCTTTGTGGGCTATGCTGTCTCTTACAGGTCTCTCCTTGCTTAGGACTCTGAGAAACATGCCCTTCAGATATTCCCAACATAATCCCACATGGAGCCATTCGCTCTGGTCTTTCCTCCTGAAGACTTTTGTCATGGTCCTCACTCAGCCTCCCATCATCTGTTGGGAAAGAGAATCCAGACAGAAATCACGACCTTCGACTGAAGCCTTTCCCACAGGCAGAGCAGATGAAGGGTTTCTCTCCTGTGTGGATTTTTCTATGGATGACAAGGTGTGAGCTCTGAATGAAGCTTTTCCCACAGGCAGAGCAGCTGAAGGTTCTCTCTCCTCTGTGGATTTTTTTATGTCTAGCAAGGTATGAACTTGCACTGAAGATTTTCCCCTCCTGCTTCTGAGACTGTATTTACCTTGTCCCACTCCTGGATGGTTTCCCTGATGCCTTTGTGGGCTATGCTGTCTCTTACAGGTCTCTCCTTGCTTAGGACTCTGAGAAACATGCCCTTCAGATATTCCCAACATAATCCCACATGGAGCCATTCGCTCTGGTCTTTCCTCCTGAAGACTTTTGTCATGGTCCTCACTCAGCCTCCCATCATCTGTTGGGAAAGAGAATCCAGACAGAAATCACTCAGTTTGCTGAAAGAAAACTATAAAAGGGAAATAGAAAAGGAGGACCACACCCCAAAAATGGCTGGAAAGATTGAATAATCATGAGCTAAGTTCACCCTCCTTCCCCCAAACCCTTTTGCCCACCCAGCACCCTCCAATTGGTGTTCAAGAGAGGCTGAAGGGTCAGTCAGATTTTATGAAAATGCACAACTGAAATCTGCTATGAGGACACAGAAATTAGATTCTGAGTCAGTTTAGCTAATTGCTCACCTGTGTGAGTGTTACTGATGATCTCCCCTCTCTCACAGCCCTGGAGATATGGGATCTGTAGCTCCTCTTCCTGCTCCTCCCAGGAGATCACATGAGCTTTGGAGACAGGAAATACAGTTTGGGGAGCAATTAAAAGAGTTGATCTTGTTTATTAAGGTCTGTGCCATTACTCCTTCCAGAGTCAGGATCTGAGTCGCCCTCTAAGAGAGGCACCTTCCCCACCTTGCAGAGACTGGGCTCTGGCTGGTACAAGATCCCAGAACACACTAACCTGCAGTAAAGATGCATCCCCTCTTCCTCTGGAATGGCCCAGATGATTCCCCAGGGGAGCGGAGCACTCTACTGCACTCTCTAAAGTACATCTAAGTCTCCCCCACGGCCCTTTCCATCCCTCCCTCCCCAGGACAGGACAGGACCCCACTGCTCAGAAGGGGCGCTATAGTGAGGGCTGGCAGGTCTGACACCGAGGCCCCCAGGCAGGGTACAGACTGTAGCTGCACATGGCAGGTCACTAGGACTTGGAGAGAAAGGACTCAGCAGAGCTCTAGGTGCCCAAGGGCTCTGTCTACAAAGCTCCTTGCTGGGGGGCTTGGCTCACCCTGTTCTTTGGCTCAGATGTTCTACTTGGGCCAGAAGGAGGCAGGTAAAGTTGTCCCAGCAGCAAAATGAACCCTTGGCTGATTGCTTCAGGCACTGCCTAAGCTCCATGCTCCTGATGCCTGTGCCTCGGTGGTCCCTGCCAGCTGCCCACAATAGCTGCTGCTTCCACAGGGTGTCAGGGTGTTCCTGCAGCTCAGCTCCCCAGGTACAGCCTTTTTGGGGTTTCCCAGCCTCTCTCTTGTGGTCAGTCAGGCCAGCCATTTGGTGCCCCTCTGGGCTGGAAACAATCTACCAGAAGCAGAAAAGGATTCTGAGATTGCACTGTCCTCCCAGGGGCTCTGGCCACCGGCACAAGGAGAGCCTGCAGGACCTAAGAGGAGTCACACCCAGCCCCACAACTCTAGTACCTGCTGTTCTTGTCTGGGCCCTTCCACTGACACCTCTGGCCAAGGTAAAACATAGGCAAGATGATGGGAAGTCCATGGAAACCTTGGCTGTGGGAAGAGCAGCACCACTGTTATGTCCCTGAACCTGCTTCTCCTAGGAGGGGTCGCAGAGGGGACAGTCTCTCTCACAGGAGCCAGGATTACTGGGGTGGATACTCCTGACGTTAGGGATGGGGGCAATGAGGGACCCTGAACCAAACCCAACCAAGCTGCTCCAGAGCCCACCCAGCTTCTGTTACACAAGGGGACAAGAATCCTTACCCAGCCAGCTCACTGCCTCATAATTCTCCTGCATCACATCCCAGTAGAGGGCTCTCTGGCCCGGGTCCAGCAGAGCCCATTCCTCCTCAGAGAAATACACAGCCACCTCCTTGAAGGTCACTGGCTTCGCCACGGCCATTTCCTGTCCCTGGCTCTGCAGGCCAGGGGCTGAGCTGGAGACAGACATGGGTGTTTTGCAGCCTGTTGGGGGTGAAGGGCAATTGGAGACATTTCAGAAAGGCTTTATTCCTTTCCACACCCCCATTCTGCCCAAACTGTGTCCCTGGTTACACATATGCTAGACTCTGCTCTTATGGGCAAATGCTGAGTCTAGATATTTCATAAAGACAACACATGAGTTAGATCCCAAATCCACATTCATTTCTCTCAATGAGTTTCAACATTACTGCACCTGCAACAATTGCATTCAATCCTGAGCACCCAGTGTTTTTCAGAAACAATCCACTAATTATGCTGCCTGTGAAGGGATCTAAATTTAGGTTCCTGCAGCTAAAATACCTAGTTTTCCTCCATATACTTGTAGTACAGAGTCAGGTCCTTTCATAGGGACTAAACCAACAGAGACTTTATTACCCCTCCCCACAACAGAGATGAAGTGAAGTTAATGCCAATCGAATGTTTATTATTAAACACATTTGGTGAGCGTTTGCAGGATGAGACCCTAACATTTATAGATTTATACTATCCAAGAGGAATATTAGCCCTGCAGTCTGACCCCGTCTGTGACACAAGCCATTACACTTGGCCCAGCTAGCCAGGCATAGAGCTCTATTACCCCATAGCACCAAATTTCGGAAAAACCTTATCTTTCGAGCCATCCCTTCTTCCTCCTGAAATGAGGTTTAAAGGATGGTGGAAGAACATATCCGCTTTTTCGGACGTGTTCCTTAGATGCATAGCTTTGCTGCAATCTAGACATTGCTAAGTGTAAACTGTTTCTGGCTTTATTTGAAAAGGGATTAAAAAAAGAATCTTTTTTGTGTTGGGGACCAGAGCAGGCTCCCCAATATCGAGGGTTCCCTGAGCTTCAGGGGCCAGATCCAGCTCTTCAGGCCAAAGGTTCCCTGCTCCTGTTTTACAGTGTGAGCCAGTCAGCTTTAAGCAGGCACAGAAACCAAACAGGCATTCTATAGATCTTAAAGCCAGGCTATGGGCTGGATCTGGCCCTCCAAGTCACCAAATCTGGCTGGCAGAGACAGCAGAGACTCTGAGGCAGGCTCCTCGGCTTCCCCCACAGCCCCGTGGGACATCTCCAAAAGTGGCTGCAGGGCTCCATTTCTGTTTTGAAACTGGAGGGGGGGGGAGTTTTAGGAGCTGCCTCACCCTGAACACATTCCCATTGGCCAAATTCTGGCAGAAACCAGCCAATGAGAGCGGCTTGTTGAAGTAACAGACAACCAAGAAGAATCACATCCTCTCTCCAAAGTTCAGGTTTTCAGGAAGCACATGGCCAGGCAAGCTCCTGGGAAACATTTTAAGCTCTGCAGAGAGGCAGGCTAGTTTGGAAGCTGGCAAGTAAGTCTCTTGGCCACAACCTGCTTCTGGCAACCCAGCCCTTTCCAACCCCAACTCTCTGTCCCTGCTCCCACTCAACCTTCTGTCTCCCTCTTGCATTCATACCTCCTCCAGATCTGGCACCCCAATCTCCTGCCATATCCACACCTCCTCTTAGATCTGGCACCCCAATCTCCTGCCCCAATCACAATCCCCTCCTACCCTAGGTCACATCCCAAGCCCCTTGTCCTATTACTGGATTTTAAGGGGAACAGACAGATCACTGCTGCACTTATCAGGGGGGAGCGTTTGCTCCAAAAATCTGTACAATGGGGACCATATGAGGCATCACATGAAAGCTTCTGTTCTACTAATTCTGTATATGCTCATGTAATTGTATAATATCTGTATGTGGAGTTATAAACATGTAGGCTGTGTCTTCATTGGCACCCTTTTCCAGAAAAGGGATGCTAATGAGACACTTCGGAATTGCAAATGCCCCGGGGATTTAAATTTTCCCCGCGGCATTTGCATGAACATGTCTGCCGCTTTTTTCCGGCTTGGGGCTTTGCCGGAGAAAAGCGCCAGTCTAGACAGGCATCTTGCGGAAAATAAACCCTTTTCCGGAAGATCCCTTATTCCTACTTAAAATCAGGAATAAGGGATCTTCCAGAAAAGGGTTTATTTTCCGCAAGATGCCTGTCTAGACTGGCGCTTTTCTCCGGCAAAGCCCCAAGCCGGAAAAAAGCGGCAGACATGTTCATGCAAATGCCGCGGGGAAAATTTAAATCCCCGGGGCATTTGCAATTCCGAAGTGTCTCATTAGCATCCCTTTTCCGGAAAAGGGTGCCAATGTAGACACAGCCCTGAAGGAATGCCTGGCCACTGACCATGTGACCCACTCCAACTTGGAGAGTCCAGGGGATAGATATATAAAATGCCATGTGGCAGGGTCCATCTTAGTCTTCAGTTTTGCTTCGAATCCCAGATGCAGCCTTGCAGGGAACAACGAGCCGGAAAGAACCGTGGACTCATCCTGACATAGGATGCTATGACAGTGCATTGGGGTTTCCCGTCTCCTCCACCCCCATAGTGGCACAAACAGACTCCACCAGCTAGTAGGATTGAGAGAGTTTATTGCGTCTCCAAGATCCAGCGCAGCACTATTATCTGGTTACAGGAACTGGGGACAGGAAGCCTCAGGCCCCCCCTTGAGTCCTACAATCCCGACTCCTCCCTAGCCCCTTCTCCTGTGCTTCTGCCCTTCCTCCCAATTCTGTCCCCAGCCAGGTGTTGGTCTCCACCTTCCTCCCTTTGTCTCTCCCCCGGGAGGCTGAGCCTAGGGCTATGTCTACATTCGCAGCTTCTTGCACAAGTAATATGCAAATGAGGCTAAGCGTGGAATATTGCCGAGCCTCATTTGCATACCTAATGAGCCACCATTTTTTCAGAAGAGGCTCTTGCACAAGAAGTAGCGTCTACACTGCCCCTTCTTGTGCAAGAAAAACCCTCTGGCGCAATGCCGTTTTTCCTGTCAAGTAATAGATGTAGCGGCATTGCGTAAGAGGGTTTTTCTTGTGCAAGGGGCAGTGTAGACGCTCCTTCTTGCACAAGAGCCTCTTCTGAAAAAATGGTGGTTCATTAGATATGCAAATGAGGCTCAGCTATATTCCATGCTTAGCCTCATTTGCATATTACTCACACAAGAAGTCGCAAGTGTAGACATAGCCTAGGTGTCTGAGTTAATACACAGAGTCAGTGAGAATCTCACCTCATAGCTCAGGGGGACTCCAGGTTACAGAGCAGACAGCCCCCCCCACTATGCCACAGACGTACACCAGAGACTTTTAAATAGTAGTTATAACACTTCTGCTAAGAGCCTGTATCAAAAACAGTGAGATTCGATGCAAGTAATGTCTTATCCTTTAACAACCTTACTCTCATGGTTTTCTTTCTTTTAATAATAAATCTTTAGACGTTAAATGCTAAAGGATTGGCTAAGCATGATTCTGTAAGTAAGATCCAGAGTGTAAATTGACCTGGGAACTGTGGCTAGTTTCTTGGGACCAAAAGAACCCATTAGGGCAGGTGAGATTGGGGTCTATAACACCTCACCTATTGTTAGGCCTGGGGCTGATTGAAACATAGGAAGAGCTGGGATGTCTGAGGGGTTTTTGCTCGTGAGGTTTCTGGCTGGCCAGATCGGCAGCTGAAGTGCTCAGCTGGTTTGTGGCCTATTTGGGAAAGGCCTCCAGTCAGGGGTTGTAAGGAGCCCCAAGTTTGAGCAATTCGACCTGAGTGGATGCCCTCAGTTGTGCCCAGACCCGACCCGGCCCAGCACACCCCTACACTACAGTCCCCTGCCCTAGGTCACAACTGCCTGCCTCATCCCAACTCCCTCCCATACTCCAGTCCCCTTCCTGCACCCCAGTCCATTACCCCAAGCTCCCATGTGCACCCAACCTCCATCCCAGACCCTGCATCTCCATAAATATTATAGAAGAGTACAGCCCTCGAAGACTTTCCAAAATCTTGGGAGTGCCCCCCCATCAAAAATTATTGCCCACTCCTACCCTAAAGCCAGGCCTGGCCATGGCAGGTTTGCAGGGACTGCAGCTAAAACATTTGCCTGCCTCACGCCCTGCTTGCAGGTGAGTGCCCCTCACCCAGCAGGGAAGTGCCGTCTGGGCCAGCCCCTGAGCATGTTGTTTTCAGTACATCCGCCCGCCCGCCAGCGACCAGTCACGGCCTACCCCTGCTCAGGCCCCACCCACCCCCTGCTACCATTGGTGTCTGGAAGGCAGCAGCCCCTGCAGTGGTCACTGTGTATGCAGCGCACACCCTGAAGGAGCCCGTGGTGCTGTTATTCACTGCACTGCTGCTCCTGGGAAATGAGGGGTGGGAGGAGGAGCAGGAGGAACTGGAGGAGCTGAGGTGAGGGGCATCTGGGTGTGGGGGGCTACTGTGTGCCAGGGTGGGGCAGGTGGACCTGAGTGGTAGGGCCTCACCCAGATTTTCCATCAGTGAGCAGAGCGAGTTGTGTGTGTGCACACTTACCACTATTGTGCATCACTGTGGGGGTGAGCCCTCCCCCTCCTCAACAGTGCCCCTGAGATCAGGGTGTTGCTCACACACTAGGATGCAGAGCCAGTAACAAAGGGTGGGGCCGGAAACACTCGTTTCCCCGATTTGCTGTTGCAGGAATTGTCCAGGCCCTTCGTGCAGCCCCATCCCTCCTGCAGCTTGTGTCACTTGTCACTGGCATAAGCATTTCCCACCCAGCATGTCAGACTGAGCCCTGCAGCTACTCATTTCACTCCCGCCTGCTCAGGATACCTCATCTGAGACATGCGCTACGGGGCAGGGAGAAGGGAGCAGAAGCGGGGCAGTTTTGTTACCAGGCCGAGAGTACAAAGACAGACTTTGGAGTACAACTGAAGAGCCGCAGACTCATGTTACCCCCGTCTCAGTGCTGGGATATTTTCTTACTACATTTTTGGCTTTTGGTAGCATTTTGGCTGCTTGACAGACCTTTTCAACAGGTTTTTGGATCAGGCTATCAGCAAGAAAATGTGATTATGCTTCTCTTGCACCTGTTCTACTGTGAGTATTTACAAAAACAAACACCCTCCCACCCCAACCAATATTAAAAAGAAAACAGTGAGTTAAATTTCTTTGTTGAAAGAGTTGTAGAGAGCTGTTAGCAACAGGTAAAAAAATCTATCAGAAATCCAAAGATTTTTGGTCCCAGTGAGGTGGAGAAATCTTGGAGGGGTGCCAAAATGCCTGAAAATCTGAGTCACCTTGAGTGTTGATTGTACATTGACACATTTAATGGCAGTAAAATAAATAAACCCACACTTCTTTAAAAATAAGATGTTTTATAGACTCTTCTCTTCCATCTGCTCTATGGCTGCCCGTTTAAAATGTCACCTCTGGTGTTTCAAAGGAGTAGCTGCTGTGGAACCCAGGGAAGTGCTCTCCCCAGCTGATCCCGGGTTCTGGGGAAATGCCCCCTTTGAATTCCTACTTTATAGACACTTCTCTTCCATCTGCTCATACACCAATGTGTTAGAGCATGTCCAACTGGATCATTTTGTCTCCTACATCTCTTGGGAAATGATTTAAAACTAGACAACTTGGAACTGTTATCAAACTATTAATCTGAGTGCATATGGAAATTAGGTTAAAATGGTGAAAAAGTTTCTGTGCCTACACCAAAATCTATTTTGTGAAAATTTATCACCAGAAACGTATTTTAAACCCTAAATTTTCTGTAGCCAATATACAGTGCTGGACAATATTTCACATGTCTCCAAATTAAATAAGTCTGGGAAAATATTTCTCTTTACTGATATAATGATTGATAGTGGATTTTAACTGGATATTGTTATGGATTTTTGCTTTGTCAATTTCCAGTTACAGTTTTGCTGCATGCTAGAAATAAAAGGGAATACTTCAGCTCCCTTCCAATGACTTTCCTTGCCTTCAGTAGTTACTTCCTTTTTGATATTTTACATAGCAATTGTTTTCACTTTGAGTTATTTTTCTCCATCTTAGATAGTAATCTAAAAATGGAAAATAGACTGTTTACTATGGTACACATTTCTAGAAGACGATGCAGAAACAAGAGAATGTGACTATGTTCATGTGTAAACAGACAAAAAACAACAGTGCTATTAAAAAAGCAGCCTACAGCAGATTAAACACAGCTGTGTCTTCAGCAAGAGTTTAATCTAACCCAGTGGTCAGCAAACAGTGGATCGGGGTCTACCAGTAGATCTTAGAGCCTGACCGGTAATCCTGACTGGTTGGGCCAGGAAGCTATCAAGAGTTGGCACTTCAGTTGCCTCTCCACCTGCTGTCATGCTGCTCCTGCACTCTGCTTTGGAGCTACCCCCATGGGAGCTTCCTGCTTGCTGTGCAGAGTGTGAGAGGGAGGGGAGGGGGTGCTGATGTCAGGGTGTCGCTCCTCCCCCCCTGCTGTACCCTATCTCCACACAGAGAAGGGGATGGAGGGAGCTTGGCAATGCAAGTCTCTGTCACACACACTGACTACATCTAGACTGGCATGATTTTCCGCAAATGCTTTTAACGGAAAAGTTTTTCCATTAAAAGCATTTGCAGAAAAGAGCATCTAGATTGGCACAGACGCTTTTGTGCAAAAGCACTTTTTGCGGAAAAGCGTCCGTGCCAATCTAGATGCAGTTTTACGTAAGAAAGCCCCAATCGCCATTGGGGCTTTTTTGCGCAAAACAGTTTTTAGCTGTCTACACTGGCCCTCTTGCGCAAATGCTTCTGTGCAAGAGGGCTTTTTCCCGAGTGGGAGCAGCATAGTATTTGCGCAAGAACACTGACAATCTTACATTAGCTCGTCAGTGTTCTTGCGCAAATTCAAGCGGCCAGTGTAGACAGCTGGCAAGTTCTTCCGCAAAAGCATCTGCTTTTGCGTAAAAACTTGCCAGTCTAGATGCAGCCACTGTATGTGTCTGTCATTCTGTCCTTCACTCACATCTCCCGACCCAACAGGTACGTGGTGGCTTGTTGTTACTTCTGTTACTGCTTGCAAAGTGGGTTAGTTTTGGTTTCTGACTGGTCTGTGCGTTTCATAACTTTCATTTCTCTCTCACACTTAAATTTAATTAGTTGAGTAGTGAGTTCTAACCTGTCATGGCTGGAGTCATTATCCCTATGGCAATTGCTGCTCCTGGAAGAGGCTGGCATGTCCCTGCAGCCCCTGAGCAAGGCAAAGCAGGGGGTCTCCACATATTGTCCTTGCTTGCAGACACCACTCCTGCAGCTCCCATTGATCAATAATGGGGTATCGTGGCCAGTAGAAGCTGTGGGCTCAGTGCCTGTAGATGAGGGGCCGCACACGGTGCCATGCAGCTAGTGCTGTACATGACAGCTGCTTTTAGGAGTGGTTCAGGGCCAGGGCAGGAGCAAGTCTGCCTTAACCCCACTGCTTCACCACCCGGAAGCCATCTCAGTTAAATGGTGCCCAGCCAGAGCCTGCTTCCTGAACCCCTGTCCCAGCCCTGAACCTCGTCCTGCACCTAACCTCCTATCCCAGATTTAAGTCCCCCTGCACCCAAACTCCTTCCCACAGCTAGCACCCTGAAACTCCTCCTGGGCCCCAATCCCCTGCCCTGGGCTAAGCCTAGAGCCCCTCCCATACTCCAAACCCCATGGCCCAAGAGCAAAGCCTGCACCCCAATCCCCTATCAAGCCTGGTGAAAGTGTGAGAATGGGGGAGGAAGGAGCATGGAGTGAGCAGGGTGAGGCCTCAGAAAAGGGGTGGATCAGCATCAGGGCCTCAAAGAAGTGACAGGAAGGAAGCAGGACAGGGCATCTGGGTTTGAGGTAGATCTTACATTGCACTTACATTTAAAAAGTGATCTTGTGTTTAAAAAGGTTGGAGACCACTGATCTAACCCCTAGGATGGGAAATTTCAGGGCTTCTTCCCAGGGCTGCGATCAGAATGGCACAATGTTGCCCAGGGACTGGACAAGGCAGCTCTTCGCTGCTTGAGATAAGATGGATTCACCAGCTAAGTGGAACTCGATGCAGTGAAATACTGTAGATCCAGCCCCTTCCAAACACTGGAATGATCAGACCTAGTCTTGGGGTTTAAAAGCGGAGTCCAGTGTCAGCTTGGGACTCCTCCACTGACCCCGGGCTCCACATGGTGCTGCCACTTTGAAATGCTACAAGAAGCCTTGTGCCGGGCTCCATGCAGCATCTGAAAGCAGCAGTACTGCAAGGAGCATGGGGTCAGATGGGAGCCCCTAGCTGATCCCAGGCTCCACGCGGTACCACCCCTTTGAAATGCCACGTGCAGCCTGGAGACACCCCAGCTAGTCCTGGGCTGCAAGCAGCGTTTCAAAGCAGCAGGACCGTGTGGAGCCCAGGGTCTGGCCCCAGACTTCAAGTGGTACTACCGCTTTGAAGTACCCCCACTCTCCCTGCCTTGTGACAGAGGCAACAAGGGGCGGGGGAAGTGACTAGTCTGTTGATGATCCAATAGGCATTTGCTTTTCAGATAGTCGACTAGTCCTTCACATCCCTAAGACAGAAAGCACAGCACAGTAATAGTTCGGGAAACTGAGACATTGCATTCTTTCTCCACACCCCACCCAAACACTCCCAGGGAAGGAAATGAAGGGAGGAAACCGCTGACAACTAACAGGATGGCTGGGGACCCCTGACAGCTATTTGCCCGGATGATTCCTGCAACCCTACATGGGAGACATGGAGCGGAAGTGAGGGCTCTCACTCACTGCTCATTTTTGGGAGTCCCAGATTTTTCCTGTACTCACTGGATGGTTTCTGTGTCAGTTTCCCTGACTCCTCACCTGTGTGGGTGCCTCTCAGGATCTCCATTTCTTTGAAGGGCTGGAGATCTGGGACCCACAGCTCTTCCCCTCGTTCCAGCTGAGCGATCAGGTCAGGTTTGAGAATGGAGAATCCTGAAAGGGGTGAGATCAGACAAGGTGAAGGCACATAGAGTCTGCGCAGAGTATGCATCACAAGGAACATTCCCCGATCTCAATCTCGTCCTACATGGGACTGGGTAACTCAGACATCTTGAGAGCAGCAGACTTCTGGGGCAGACTGGAGTGGGGATGTGACAATGCTAGGATTGTATTCACTGTGTTTGCTTTCTTGTGTTGCATGTGATTTGTACTGTCCTGTAGTAAACCCATGTGGGTGTGCCTCAGTTTCCCTGACCTCTGCACAGCTATCTCGATGGGGATGGGAATTGGGGGGGAAGGGTGACTTGCTGAGGGAGGATGCTTAGGCCAGCATGTTCATAATGGGACCAAGCGACACCTTTTTCCTGGGAAACTGGAGAAAGTTTGGAGTTGGAGTTGGCTGCAGTCAGGAATGAGCTGTGGAAGGTGGAAGTGTCTTGCTGGCTTGGGGGCAGAGATGGAAGCAGGACCCTTGACTCTGGGTTCCCGTCTCCCCAAGATGGCTTGTACTGATTACTCCTGGTTCCTGTGCTAACAAGTCTGTTCTACGCTGTGTCCCCGTGGAGTAATAAATATTTTGTTTTACCTTCCGGCTGAGAGTCATGTCTGGCTGCAGATGGGGGTGCAGAGCCTGTGACTCCCCACTCCTGGGGGACAGAAGGTGTTGTCATGCCCTCACTAGGGCTACATCTACACTGCACAGTTAATTTGGAATGAGCTATTCCAGAAGAGTTATTCCAAAATCACTTATTTCGAAATAGCACGTCTACGCTGCAAAGAAACCTCAAAATGAGTCTGAGGCAGGCTTCCTTAATGTAGACAAGCTTTCTCTATAAAGAGCTCCTGGAAGAATAACTTTGAATGGGCCTGGGGAGGGGCTATTTCAAAATAACAGAAGTGGAGCATCTACACACGCCTTATTACGAAATAGCTATTTGGGAGGAGTTGTTATTCTTCACAGAATGAGGTTTACAGAAGTTGGAAGAAGCAGTCTGATATTATGAAATAACTGCTGTGTAGACATGCACCCTAGGACTATAAATCATTGGTGGGCTCTGGAGCACTAGCTGACTCACACACAGCCTTGGGGTTGAATTCTGGGCAATTTCTAAATCTGTGCAGCCCAGATGCCTCCACAGATGGAGCCAGACCCATGAAGGCAGATGATCGGTGTGTGCAGGAGAAATAACAGGCAGGACAGTACTTTGGTTCTGGCCCCTGAAAGCTGGGGAGAGGAGGATGAATTACCATTTCATTAGGTGTCTGACTGCCCTGTTCCTCAGAAGGGGGCATGGGGATGAAAGTGTCTCTCACATGGGGGCTGTAGGCCCCACGTCCCTCTAATCTAAGGGTATATTTACCCTACAGTGCTATTTCAGGATACCACAGGTATCCTGAAATAGCTCCCAATCTTCACAAGCCATCTGCTATTTCAAACTATTTTTCAAAAGAATAGGTGCACTAGTTCGGTATCCCAGTAACCCTCATTCCAGGAGGGTTAAAGGATGACTCTAAATAGCACTTTATTTTGAAATAAACTCAAAACAAACTCTTATTTTGAGTTTTGAGTGCAGTGTAGACGTAGCCTAACTGACCAAGGAAGAACCTGACTCGATGCAGAAACGCCGGCCCCAGGGCTTTGCTAGCTGAGGGCGCAGGAATCCTTACCCAGCGAGGCCACTGTCTCATAGTTCTCCTGCATGACGTCCTCATAGAGGTCTCTCTGCGCGGGGCTCAGCAGCGCCCCCTGCCCCACGGTGAAATACACAGACAGCTCCTCGAAGGTCACTGGCACCTGAAATAGGGAACTCCCACTCAGTGCCTGACACCCCAGTCCACACCCGTCACAATGGAGGGGGCCCGAGGAGCAGAATCCCACCCCACTCTGCCCAGAGAGGCCAGGAGGCTCCAGGGAGAGAGAGGGGAGAGCTCCTTGTGTCTCCCAGATGGATCAGGGCAGTGTCTTCTCAGTTACCCCCTTCCAGCCACAGGTTGAAGTGGGAGCAGAGCTCGGCACAGGCCACAGGGACAGGAATCCCAGCCCCTTCCCATTTCATGGCAGCCTCTGGCTATTGAGCTCTGTCTCAAGTATGAGAAACAGCAACAGGAATGGCCAGGCTGGGTCAGACCAAAGGCCCCTCCAGCCCAGTGTCCTGTCTGCCCACAGTGGTGAGTGCAGGGTCCCCAGAGGGAATGAACAGAACAGGGAACCACCAAGTGATCCACCCCGGTGCCCATTCCCAGCATCTGGCAAACAGAGGCTCCAGACACCCTCCCTGCCCAGCCTGGCTAGTAGCCATTGATGGAACAATGGAGACTCTGACCAATTGTCCCAGCCCTGTCCATGGGGTTTCCTCTTTCAGAAACAGGAGAGTGTTCACCCTCCTCCCAATGGGCCTGTTCAGACCATCAGGCCCTAGGCTGAGCAAGCCCCAGCAAGTTTACCCACTCTGTCCCCTCCCTGGCTCAACCTGTGTATTCCCTGCCCCTCCCTCTCTGCAATAGCCCCCCCTGCAGCTCCCCACACAATCCCCTACCTGAGCCAGCTCCACCACAGCCATTTCCCTGCCCTGCTTCCTGCAAGATGGGACAATCCAGAGCAAAGAAGAGACGTGATTCTTCAGCCTGTCAGGGAGAGAGGGGCGACTGGGGAGGTTTCCAAAGGGGGCTGGAAACATTTCACACCCCAGTTTCCCAGGCTCCCTCCCTACAGACAGATGCTCTAGGCCCCACTGTGCTGACACACTTCAGTGAGGTGACAACACAGACCTGGCCCCTCCCACCAGGGGTCACCCACGAGGCACTGTAACACCCTCTCTGGGATAGAGTCTCTGAGACAGACACTAGAAAAGAGCAGAAGTTCCAAACCTGCCCCTCTGGGGGATCCCCCAACCTTGTCCTTGAGGCCAGCAAGCCCCCCACCCCAATGCATCACATGGGGGCTGGGAGGGCAGGAACTGGCTTTTCCTTCCCTGCCTCTTGCTGCCAGGACAGTCAATTTGCCCAGGGTGAGGCAGTAAATGGGTCTGGGCAGGTTGGAGGTCTGGGAACCTCTCTCCCAACTTCCTGCACTGCTGCCCCTTCTGGTCTCCCCAGTCCCCTTCCTGACTCCTGCCCTCTCCCATCCGCTGGGAGCGCTGGTGCCTGCCCGGTGCCCATGCGTGTTTGCTCTTCAGTGGGAGCCTGGCTGTGCCACTAAGGCAGCAGCTCTGGGACCCGCAGACACACAGGGACCCTCCTCCCCTCTGGTACAAACTCAGGCTGGAAGAGGCTGGTTTGGCTGAGTCACTTTCCTGGCTGAGTCACTTTCCTGCCCCTCCCAAGTTTTGTCCCCCAGTTCTCTCCCGGTCACCGGGAGCTGATGCCAGCAGAGCCTGGGGCTGCCCTATAGGGCAAGTAACAGGCATTGAGGAACATCCCCACCCGGGGTGGGCACAGAGGGGTGCAATGAACAGTTCCCTGCTACAGACCCATTGCTCAGTCTGGACTCCCAGATCATGTCATCAGCGGCAGCAGCATCTGACCCAGGAAACTCACCTGCTCTAGGGCCCTGTAACCCGAGTAGAGACAGACACCAGCCTCCTCTGCCTGCGCAACAAGCAGGGGCCCTTTCCCCACATGCCTGAGCCCCTGGGCTGCCCTGAAGCTCCCAGGGACAGCTCAGTAGCTGCAGATTCCATTGGCACAGCTGGACTCGCCAGAACTGAGCCAGACCAGAGAATCAGGGTTTTTAAACTGATCTGAAGTTAGAAAAAAGTTATGGCTCTTCTCAGTCCATCCTACATCCACCTGGTAATTGAGGGGTGGGTGAAATTCTGTGGCCTGCACTGTGCAGGGGGTCAGACTAGATGATCATAATGGTCCCTTCTGACCTTAAAGTCTATGATGCAGGCTCCACACTCCAAATTCAGTCCCCCACTGTAGCCAGTCCCAGAGCCCACTCCCAATCCCTCTCCCTACATCCCGGGGCACTGCTGGGAACTGAACCATCTAGTTGCACTAGAATGGACACCAAACACCAACTGTCACTGAACTCGCATCTACTCTGAACTAACCCCCAGCTCAGCTCCTTGTTAGGATTGGGCAGCAGTGTCTCTGGTCTGACACTAAATCCTGAGCAGAAATCAGAGCAGCACCAGATCAGCCCTGTTGGGTCAGACCCTGCAAATGATGAGATTGTTTTTAACATACAGGTTAAATTGGGTGCTGTTTGTTGGGGGGGACAGTGCAGAGAGTGGCTGCCTGTGCCTATTTCCCTTTTAAATTCTGAGTCCGAAGAGCCGGGCTGGGCAAGATACAGCCTGGGATAGAGGAGTTAGTGATTGGTTAATTGAATAGTCAAGTAACTACATACATTCTTTTCGGCTACTTGACTATTCTATAGTCCCTTGGGGCAGGACTGTCAGCCAGTACACTCTGGCCCTATTCCCAAGGGGGCCACTGCCACTTTGCGAGGGGTGCCAAGTGAAAGCTGGTCCAAAAGGGGAGCCAGTTTAAAAATCAACTCCCCTCACAGACCAGCTGCCTGTCATCCTGTGCTTCTGCCTCTCTATCATCAGATACCTGCCTGGTGGAGATGGTGTCTGAGCTCTTGAACCCCACATGAGCCAGAACTGAATTGGGCTGCCTGCCTGGGTAACTCCTAATACACCATGTAAATGAAGAGCCACAGTGCGGGTAAGTCCCAGACCGACAGGGGTTGCTCTTGTCTGGAGCAGCCTGTTTGTGAGGAATGTGGTGCCCCACAAACAGGGACTGTGCCAGTGTCAAGATCAGCCTCTCTCTGTGGGGAATCCAACTTGCTGTGGAGAAGGGCTTGTCACAGGGGACTGGGAGCCAGTGTGACCTAACTAAGAATATTAAAATGCAGTTAACTGACTAGCCAACTAGTCAATGGAACTCCGTGTACAGCCCAGGGCCAGCAGGAAGTTCTGCTGACTCCGGGACGCACACGGGTGCCTTTTTTGAAATGCACTAGAGTCCCCAGCATTGCAAAGCCATGGAACTTGGGATCAGAAGAGGACCCTCCAGCTGATCCTGGGCTCCCTACGGTATTTCCCGGGAAGCCTGAGGTCAGTTAGGGAGTCTCCAGCTGCCCCTGGGCTCCCCGCTGCTGCCCCTTTCAAATCGCAGAGATGAGTGGATCAAATGGGCAGCCACGACACAGCTAATCCATGCATCAGCTGTTTGGTGGCTGTCCCTTTAAACAACGCATCCATGTGATTCAAAGGAACAAATGCCTATATTAAACTTCATTTTAAATAAAATAAAGTATTAATTCATGTCCAACACAAAAGGTTTCAATGTTTTCTCTATTAATGGCAAGGGTAGGCAATCTTTTCTGAGCCACAGAAAAATCAGCTGGGGACCACACAAGTGAGAACAAAAAACTCCTCCCAACCTCACTGATGTGGCCCCCCCAATTCAGACTCTTCATTCCTCCAGTGATTCCCTAGGTGAGGGGAAGGGACAGGGAGGACTGAGGTTCAGGGCTTCCCATAGAACAATTTTCTTTTCTGGTGAATTTATGGACACCCTTAGGCCCTAAGGTGGGGACAAAAATGAGGGGTTCAGTATGTGTGATAAGGCTGTCAATGAGTGAGATAGGGATGGATGGGGGGGTGCAGAAGGGGGAGAAGTTGCAAGGACTGAGTAGGAGGCAGGGTGCAGAAGCAGGCTGGGAGTAGAGTGACATGTTCACAGGCCAGCTGAGCTCCATGCTCAGGTTTCTGTGTGTTAGGCCCTAGAGAATTGAGCCCAGTGAAGTTATGTTAAGACAGATCAAGGAAAGAGGTTAACAAAGGTTTCTGGGTAGTCCCTGAGCAGAACTAGAGACATAGTTCAAGCAAGGAGGCGCTCCCTACATACTTGCTTGAGTTGCAGAAGTAAAATAAGTGAAAGGCTGCATTCCTATACCGGTTGTGATGGGAACAGCTAGTTTGAGAACTGATAAGGTAACTCCCTGTTTCTGTTCTCACCCTGATCTTAACGAACTGTCTCTGCCCTCTGTTGTTTTAACTCCCTGTCTCCTTGTTTGGTACTTGCCTTCTGGGCTGATAAGAAAGCTGTTGACGTATTATGAATTGCTTAAGGCCATGAAGTATACGCATTAACACTAGAAGCTTCTAACTAATTAAAGGAGAGGCTGAGATGCTTGGGCAAATGTTTTATGATGCGACGGAACTGTCTATATAATCTTATTGTTACCGAAATCATGGCTGGTTCACTTAGGAGACGGGCCGCTTTCTATTGTAGTGCGCACTATTCAATAAAGAGCTTGTGATTCGATCTTGCTAGTATTGCCTGTCTCTTTGAGGTCAGACAACGAATGAAGGCCGTCCGAATTAAAGTCCCTGACATGTGCCTCCCCCTCAGCCCAGTTGAGCACCTGGATACCTTCCCCCAGCCCAGCTGATCCCCTCACAAATCATTTTTTCTTGCAGTCCCAACGGGTATTCCCTCCTGCTGATGCCAATTCCCCCAGGGAAGGAGGGGGAGGGGAAACAGCAGCAGGCAGCTGCATTTGTAGTCTCTGGGCTTGTTGGAACCTTTTAGTGCTTCTCAATGACAGCAGAGTAGATACATCTTTGTATTAATCACTCTCTCACTGAAGTTTTAATTTTGTATTAAATCCTTTCACAAGTTTTCTATAAATCATTGTATTTGTTGGGATATGTAAAATGAAGAGGGGTTTGGGATGGTGGGAAGGAGTTCAGCCACAGTAGGCACTACCCTTGAACATGCTCTTGTTTTTGCAGCCTAGAAAAATAGACAAGCAGGCAGCTGCTCTACTTTGCTGCATCTTTTGCTTAGTCTCATTGGCGCTGTATAAAATATATTCTGGGTTAAATATCTTCTAATCTCTGAAACCTGCTGATTCAGAAAGTTTGTAGTGTAGAAAGTGATGATTCGTTTAGAAATTCTGTAAATAGTAATTAGGGACAGGTATAATTGTATTCATTATTTGCTAATTAATATTCATTTTATGAAAGTTAACATTACTAAATAAAGTTTTAGGAAAAAGGGTCTGACTAATGCCAATTGGTTGCCACTCAGATGTTGTGTTAAACGCCAGAGGTAAGTGTGCGTAGGCAATAAAGCAGTTCCATTTACCCCATCCGCACTATGGTCATCTGTTTCTGCAGTAACAGTATTAAGTCTTTTAAAACTTTGTATCTTGTAGACTAGTCCCTAAAAATTAGTAGGGTAAAGAGAATGTCTTTGTATCCCCTTTCTGTATTCCCCATTGAGTGAATGAGGTTTGAATGGGTAAGTCATGGAAAACAAGCCCTTCCAGGATGTTGGAGTGGTTGGAGAGGGGATGGAAGCGAGATGCAAGAAAAGTTACAAGAACAATGGGCCCTTGTTGTCTTGTCAACATGGGAGCACTAACCCGGATTAGCAGAAGCCCGGCTCCACTGCTCCCCCACCTAACTCACCCGACCAGTACTGTTAGGGGGAGCAACTACTGGTAACAACAAGATGCAGTGTGCTAGTGTGTGTGTATGCGAGTTCATGAGCGTGATACATCATAAGCATACGATAAGTGCTTATTGATATAGGTGGCATTTTCCATCCCCCCCCCCCCCCACAAAAAAAGACCCCATGCAATACTTTAAGTACAACACCGGGACAGGAAGTTAAAAATTGGGACTGTCATGGATTTTTCAGGATGCACTGTCAGCATAAGTAACAGCTACCAGGCTCTTACCATATTCAAAAGGCAGAGCTGCAGGTGGTCTGGAGCCAGGCACAATCCAGGGCAGCCAAGTCCTAGCTCACTTGGGGTCCCAGACGCTGAAGTCTCTTACTACTTTTAAAAAGCGGAGGTGCAGGTCTCCCACTGCACCTCTGCCTCTCTGTCCCCTGCAGAGATGGTGCTAGGGGAACCAGCTTTTAAACTGGCTACCCCCAGCACAGGCTCCTGGTCCCACCCCTTGCTGCCTCTGATAAAGCCCCTTCCCACAGATTGAGCCCCTTAATGTTGTTCCCACCCCAGAGCTTAGGGGCCCCACAAAATCTACAATCCCCACGTTCCCAAAGGAGTTAATCTGGCTTGGGGGAAGCCCTTGCAAAAAAATCAAGAAAGCACCTGATGAAGCTATTTTATAGTTAGCTAGAAGCCATTCTGTATAACAAAAGCCATTTCAGTTTCTTGTGTCTGCACGAGGGAGTGAACTGGCCTTCACCGAGGTGCGGAGAGACCAGAGGGATGCGCTGTTGGAATGTGTTAATGAACTATTTTGAGCTGAAGCTCGAACTCCCTTTTAACCTGTTTCTTTCTATGCTGATAATAATTCCTCTTTGAAGTTCTTTGATTTCTTGCCCTGACGTCAGACTTGTTTGGTTAAGGGTATAAAATACTAGGATTGATTGTATTAGCCAGCCTTACTGGGCCCGACTTTGCTGGGACCACATTTGGCTCATTTTGCTTTTATTGGCCAATAAAACTGTCTGTTTAGCCGCGTAAACTGAGTGAGGCGTTTGCTTCAACAATTTGGAGATTCCACCGAGATCCCTAACGCGCCACTTGCCCATATGGACGGACCAGCACTCCACTTCCAAACCTCTCAGAGTGCTCAATAGAAGGTAAGGAGATACCTGTTACGAAATCTCCTAGTGAGGGCTTGGGATTTGGAGTGACGGCCGGCCATCGGGGTAAGGGGAGCTATGGAATTCAATTTTGTGGAGCGGCTAACATTTTTGTCTGTCTGTGTCTGTCTTTGTCTATTAGGCCTGTCTTATGTGTCACAGTTCCAAAAGGGCACACCGGTGTCTCTAGTGAGGCAGCCATGCGCTGGACCCTCTGTGTTCGGACGCTAAAAGCTGGTGTGGTGCCATTACTCTCTCTCAGCACACGGAACTGTGGGGAAGCTTTGTCGTCTCTCTCTGTTATTTGTGGGCGTAGTACTGACCTCTGAGGCTAACCCCAGGCCATAGTGCCCCATTCCAGATAGCTGTGATAGTCTCTGGGTTAAGCTAAAAGGGGTAAAAAAGGAGGGTGATATCATGCTAGGAGTCTACTACAAGCCACCTAGCCAGGTGGAAGAGGTGGATGAGGCCTTTTTTAAACAATTAACAAAACTATCCAAAGCCCAAGATTTGGTGGTGATGGGGGACTTCAACTATCCAGACATATGTTGGGAAACTAACACAGCGAGGCACAGGCTATCCAATAAGTTTCTGGACTGCATTGGAGACAACTTTCTGTTTCAGAAGGTTGAAAAAGCTACCAGAGGAGAAGCTGTTCTGGATTTGGTTTTAACAAATAGGGAGGAACTAATTGAGAACTTGAAAGTGGAAGACAGTATAGGGGACAGTGATCACGATTGCAAGTTACTGGATAAGTGGAATTTGTATACTCAAAATGACCCAAAATTGCAATTCCCATTGAAAGGGAGTTTTGATGTAACTAAAATTTTACATTTAAGGGAAGCTCTTGAGGGTCGTGGAGCGAAAACTCCCGATCTGCAATGGTCTGCCTATCTACCATGGTATGAAGAAACTTTTAAAAGGCAGAAAGAATCTCAATTAAGAAGCTTTAAAGATACTCAGGAAAAACTGCAAACACAGATTAAACTGCTGAAAGAGGCTAGCACTCAATCAAAAGCAGTGATAACTAAGCCTAGTGCACCACCTGTTGGGCAATTGTATCCTTGTCTCCCAAACCCCGATTCACAGGATGACATGAATGATGTCCTGTGCCCCGCGTGGAATCCCCCGCCATTCCCAGCCCCACCTCCAGCTCCCGAGCCCCAAGTAGCTTCAGGAAGCCAGGCTGTGACTGAGAAGGAAAAACCAGGAACTGGAGTGTTCCCGATTACATATAAGATTTTTGGGGGAAGCACTATTCTCCTCCAGCCAGCAACTCCTAAGGGACAACGATCAGTGGCACGTATTGAGACGGGGAATAATAGCCCCGTCGCCGCTTATCCTTTACGGGAAGTCCCAAACCCACAAGGAGGGCGTATGTAGGTTTAACAACCATGGACCAAAACCGAATTACACGCCATGGCCAAAGATTTTCCCTCAGTAGAAGAGGACCCGGTAAAATTTAAAGCAGAACTGGCACTAGTAATACGGTCTTATGATCCTAACTGGCAAGACCTCGATCTGCTTTTGAGGGTGATTCTGCCTGATGATAAGCGTAAAAAGATTTTAAAGAAGGCAGGCTGGCCACCTGGACCTATTTCAGGAGACCCAGATTTAGCAGCTAATAAAGAGGCTCTCACCCGAGCTAGAAATGGACTGCTTGATAGTATCCTTCAAGTCTTTCCCAAACTTCCGAATTGGGCTAAAATTAGCACCTGCAAACAGGAAGAAAATGAATCACCAGGTGCCTATTTAGAAAGGCTTACTAAAGTGTTTGAAAGGCACTCTGGCATTGAAAACCCAGCTGACACTGCCAAGCAAGCGCTGGGTGCCGCTTTTGTTACTGGACTGGATCCAGCTATCCAGACCCTGTTAAAACAGATAACCATTGGCTGGGAAACTAAACCCTTAGAGGAGCTTCTGACAGTGGCAAACCACTGCAGACAGTGTATAAAGGCTAAGCAGGACAAAGAACCTAAGCTTATGGTTCTGCAATCACTGCCTACTAAAACAGGCAGGGGTCGGGGGCGTCCCATAGAGCGACAGTCACGGGGCTCACCCTGGTCTGGAAATTCTGCCGGCCGTGGCAACCCCAGGATAAATGCAAACACTTGTCACTATTGCAAACAGCCAGGACACTGGAAAGGGGTCGGGGGCGTCCCATAGAACGACAGTCACGGGGCTCACCCTGGTCTGGAAATTCTGCCGGCCGTGGCAACCCCAGGATAAATGCAAACACTTGTCACTATTGCAAACAGCCAGGACACTGGAAAAGCCAGTGCCCAAACCGCCCCATGCAGCCAGAGCCTGTAGCTTTCAGACCCCCGCAGGGTCAGTTTACTTTAGCAACGGCTGAGAGTCAATAGGGGTGCCCAGAGGAGGATTGCAACTTCACCCTTTTATCTCCGCTTATTCCCCTGAACTCTGACGGCACCCTCACTTGCCAAGTTGCTGGACAAAACACCCAGGTTTTAGTGGACACAGGTGCTAGCAGGTCCACTCTCCAAGCGTCTTCTTTCTCTATTCCTATGTCTAACCAGGTTGTTAATGCAGTTGGTATTTCTAATCAAGTCGTGCCTCACCCTGTTTCTAAACCCGTGTCTCTTGTACTAGGACCTATTTCTGAGCATCATTCCTTTCTCCTAAGTCCTACTTCCCCTGT